TTTAATACAGTTTACAGTTAGCTAATACCTTATAAATTACTTTGGTAAGCTAAAAATCTTTTGATTTATTTGAGGTATAAAAGATGTTATTAAAAGGATTTACCGAAAGGATGCAATTATAAATACATTAATAACTGCAGGTTATAACTATCATTACTTGATGATGAGTTGTAAGAATCGTAAGTAGTTTACACCTGTAACCCACTAGCATACATTATTATAATCTGTATTACTATTGAAATAGTATGGCTGATTTATAGATTTGTAATATTTCTATGATTTGGTTTGATTGTACTATGGTATAGTTTATAAGGAATTTATTTTATTATATATTTTCTCATAATTTTATTCTGTTAGAAATCTCTTCTGGTGGTAATTTTTTAAGTATCTCAATAGTTAGACATTCGTAAAAAAAGGTTATATTAATGGTACCATTTGCGGCAAATCTGGTTTTAACTAAACTAATTTTGTTTCGTTTATTATAAATAAAATAATAATAAACTGTATACAATTTGAATTCCTATGATTTTTTTTTTTTTAATTTACTGAAAATTCAATATGGTTTATCATGAAATTTGAAAAAATATTAAATTTATTATGATTATATAAACTAAAAATATCTCAATAATAATTGCATTAACTTGATATATACTTGATGATGATTTTTAATTAAAAATCATTCGTACTCGTATAATATACCGGTAGAATACGATTGCGCGCATTTTATTTTTTTCATAATACGATTGCGCTTGTTTTAACGGGATATTAGAACATCTATTTTTGGGTAAATATATGTACGATTACGCGTAAAACTTCGATGTTGCCAGATTAGACATCATTGCAATTAAACATTTTTAAATACCTGTTGCTCAATTTTGTCTTCTATTGGATGTTCGTGATTGCCATTGGTTGATAGAACTGTATAATTCGATTTCGTTAGTATAGTAGCTGAACATATTTTTCTGGTAAATCTCCATTTCATCAAATTATCTTTTACTAATTAAGCTACATTTAAAATCTTTTACTACGATTAAGTTTTTTTTTTCTTTCAAATAAAATAATATGTACTTCTTTTATTGATTTCATGATGATAACTGATATTATTACTGCAGATATTAGTACAACTCTAAAATCTTTTACTACGATTAAATTTTTTTCTTTCAAATAAAATAATATGTATTTCGTTTATTGATTCTATGATGATAACTGATATTATTACTGCAGATATTAGTACAACTCAACTATATACTGAGTAGGTAATATATAAGTGAGTGTATATGTATAAGCGGAAAATTCAAAATTACGATAAAATATGAAATGAATATGACATTTAATTTTAATTATTAATTATTAATTTTATTAACTTTTATAATTTTTATTATTTATAATTAAAATTTATATTATTTTGTTACCTATTAAATTCGGCAACATTGTACAATCGTGTTATCATATTGAACACTAACTAAAAGGGTACATGTGCAATAGTATTCTACTCCGTTACACATATAATAATACTCCAGGTTAAATATTTATTTATTTAAAAATTTAGTTTTAGTTTCTATGCATGTTAAATAATGTAGATAATGTTTATATTTTATATTCTAGATTAATAGTAAAGTAAGTATATTTTTAGTATTAAGTTTATAAATTTAGTTTCAAGTAAATATTATTTCCAAATGTAATAAATAATACTCAAATAACTACGGTATCATAATCTGTCTTATTATTATCATTTGTATGCAAGAATTACGTCTAGATTTCAGAAAATGCTTTACGATTGTATTGACTGAACCGATCCTTCTGGTCAAAATCATGTACACAAACTCAAAAAAAATATAATATTTAGATTACTTACACATTTTAAAAGCAAACATTCCTCACTTTCTTCATTTTGCTTAGAACTTAAAGTAATTCAAGCTGGTTATAACATTAATTTTAACCATAATATTAGACTTTTTAAAACAATGGTATATACTATATTTAATCAGGTGTATTTAATTTTTGTTTTAACGTTAAAAAATCCATTTGTACGGTTTAAAATGATATGCTTTAGGTTTGATCAGGTGTTTGTTGCAAAGTGTTTCGAGGTCGGCCAGGTTGGTGACATAAATTACATTATGTTTATCGCTTGGTGAATAATGAAATAATTTAAAAAATGTTAATTTCTTTTACGTGGGTGTAGATACAATTATTTAGTTCAACTTAAATGTACCTATATATTATTCTATTTAAGTATTTGACGATATATTAAAGAAACAATAACATACTGACAATTATACGTCAGTATTTAGTCTAAAAAAGCAAACAGTTTATACTACTGGTGTTTAAAAAAAGTCACTATATATTTTTTTAAGCTAATACATAATTTTTCTGTTTTATATTTTGAACAATAATTAAATACTAATTGAAATTAACTATTTTTATTTTTGACTTATAAATAAAAAATTTTTTTTTTTAATTTTAAAATATTTGTATATATTGTTTGTAACATTAGTTTAATTACTTTAAATTAAAGATTTGAAAGTTAAACTGATCTATATGAGCGGGTATGTTTTATATAATATACAAGTACATAAAATTTTACTGCATGGTTGTAAACAATTTTAAACAAGTAATAATCGTTATAATGCTAGTTAAAAATATTTTATAATTATAATTAATATTTGAATTAACTGACATTTTCATATTTATAAAAATAGCGTTAAATATTATATTATTTAATTCCTTGGTTATATAGTTAAAGGTATTTCTAATATGTACACTGTTATTGGATATAAAAAATATGTGTACTTTCTCGTATGAATATGAATAATAAATAATAATTTCATCCAATTAAATATTAACTTAATTTATATTAATACATTTTTAATTGTAGGTATATAGAAAAGCAATATTTACGTTTCAGTCATAATTGACAATAGTTGCTTTTTTGGGTAGAATAATTTTAGAAATTAGTTAATTTTTACAGTATATTTTTTTGTATTCTATAAATTATGTATCAGTGTAATATCGCTGAATATATGAAATTATAATGAAAATATAGTCTATGATAATACTATGATATTGAATGTAATATTTATGGTTTCACTAAATTATTATTTAATTGTCACGAAAACATTAAGTATACATTACTCAAAATTGTTATGTTGATGTAGTTAATGTTATTTAGGTGAACGATTATTGTTTTGTCATTGTAATTGTAATATGTTATTTTCGTAAAAACAACAGCTGTTCAGTTTGAATAATTTAAAAAACGGTACATTTTTATCTATCTTCTAAGTTCTAACTATCTATACATAATATATATCTGTGGCTTGATGCAAGAAGGACCAATGTCACATTTTGACGTAATTAATATTATTGGGCCAATTTTATTATAGTAAACACGAAATGAGTTATAATAAAAATCCCAATTTAATTAAGTAACATCATTTTTTGAGTTCCTATTTTAAATTTAAGAATGTAATGTGTTCATTAAAAATTAACCAATTTAATGTTTTTATTTCTTAACATTGTCTTAATTTGATATTGTCCCTTCTCGCACCATCTTCTACTTCTATGTCTATATCCATCTTACCTATACCTATCTTCTATCTATATCTATATTTATCTATACTTCTATCTTCTATAAATAGTATTTAAAATACAATAAAATATAAATTATGTTATAAATTAAAACCTTGATTAATAACTAGTCCCTGATAAAAAATGTACTACATTATCATGTATTTTAAAATGGTCGTATAATTTTATTATATGGTTATTTTTTTGGATATCCTTAGTTGGAATAGCTTTGGATACATTTTTTTTACAGTAGATATTTTGTTATTGGTTGCAGCTTTTCTTTCAATGACAAAGTATATTGGTGGATGTGGGTTATAGGATTTAGCATTAAAATTTCTGTTGAAACTTTTCCTGTCTATTTTTTTGTTTTAACATTCAAATAAGTAACAATTACGTAATTAATTATAATCTATAATTATTTTATATATTGGAACATAAAATTTAAAATAGATTATCAAAAAGTGTTTGTCTGGGAATAATTGGCACAGTAACATTTATGAAATTATCAAATAACAACAATAATTTCCTAAAATAAGTTATACTACAAAAGTTCACAGTTGTGAATAAGAGCAACGTTGCACTAAGTTTGGGTAGGCAGAACGTACGCAATCATAATAGTGAAAAAATTCCATACATAATTGTAACGCCCTCTCAAAGGTTACTTATATTATAAAAACATATTTTGTTTTTTCAGTTAAGATAGAACTAGTTGATTCACCAAAATTTGACTCAGTATTATGATTACACGAAATATAACTTTATTCAAATTTTTTTCGGTTTTAATCATTAATTTAATTATATAGAATATCTGATAGTCGCTGCTATTATAATAATATTGATAAGATATAATAGTAGTTGATTTAATCCAAATATTACCGTCAATGAATGGTAGGATAATAATTTTATAATTGTTTACATTTAGGAGTGCAACAAACCAGTTTGAAAATTAAAATAGATTTAACTTAACATTATTACCACAGATTATATAAGACAATACAATTTTTTTGAAAGTTTGTGTAAAATAACAATATTTTTTAAAAACGTTAACTTCAATGAAAATTTGTAAGCACTGATTGAATTAATATTGTAAAGTTATTATTTATGTAAAAATAAATGTTAACGTATTCAAATAATAATATACCTATTCTATCATGTAGATAATAATATTGGACTGTTAGTTTATATATTTATACTAACTTATATTCATTGGGTTTCAAAATAAAGCACGATTTTCCAACATTGATTAAACGTATTCCTGTTGACATGCAATGAGACCATTTAACAGAAGTATATACATTGTGGGGCAATATTTGTCGTCTATTATACTCGTAATAATTCTGTTGGGTTAACGAAATATTTACCAACTCATTTTATAAAATACGTTAAATAATGAAAGTTTATAACATAATCTCTCATTAATTCGTATTTTGTTTTAGATTTTGACTAATCGTAATAATGTCTTCCATTCCTTTGGCCGGTAATCTGGTTAATCGTATCCGGCGGTGCCTCAACGTCTTGGCCACTCGGCCTGGACGATCGCGATGAGCCCCCCAGTTCATTCGAGTGATATGTTAGTTTCGTCAGAAACGAACACAGATATCATTAATAACAATAATAATAACAACGACGACGACGGTCTTTGTGATAAACCGGCTTTATCTACCGAAGAACTGGCGCTGTTAGCAAAACTCGAGGAAGCCAATCGGTAAGTTGTATTATTTATATGTAAAATTAAGTCGATAAAATATATTTGTTATATTAATACATACGCCCAAGGTCGTGTTTAGATTTTTTTAATGGGTTAGGTATTCCAAATTGTGTTTAATATCTAGTCTTGTAGTTATTAATGAATTTAAATTTTGACATTGGGTTAAAAATATCAAAAATAATACATTTCTGGAGGAAAAGATTCGAATCCCGTGGATTCCATTTTAGAGACAGCCTCTGGATACGCCCTGCAAATTAAGTTTACATTTATTATACTATAGTGTACAACATGAATTTATGAATCTAAATATTTCTATTTAATTAAAGTTAATATTTTCTTTATACTTTTCGTTGATTTACAATTATTTTTATTATTTTTGAAATTAATGAATAATATTATATTGAAACCTAATTTGAATATTATTGTAATAATTATAATGATAAATGACTGTCAAAAATATAATTTACCCACCTAATTTCAATTAATAGTCTGAATACTAAATATTCAAAATAATCAATAAATAATTTATTGTATTATTTAAATAATATTTATATATTTAATAATATTTATATTTATAGTAATTATTATAAAACAACAGATGATCCTAAAAATGATTGCAAAATGATAAAAGTGACAAAGCACTTATCAGTTGCGCCAATTATTTGAGTCTTTCGAGCATTAACTCTTCGAATATAATTTTACCTATAAAAGTTTACATTACTTGAATATAATATTGTAATTCCCACTTTAATATACCAAATTATTTAATTTAAAAATATAATACGCAGAGTCTAATATTTCAATATAATAAAATAATAATTTAAATTTTTTTCTTACTTGCCACTAGAATAGCTCTTTAAATTGCTAATTAAAAAATTATATCGATATGATCAATAATTAGAAAAAATGTGGTTTACTCTCTAAAAATATTTGAAATATAATTATTTTTATTTTAAGTTAACAATTATAAGAATTATCACATCAATTAAATTTATAAACATTCTATATATTTTATTTAGTTATAACTTGTTCTATACAAATGTATGTATTATGTTTCACGTACGTTGACAGTAAATGTTTTAAATCTTAGTAATAACTTAATTTTAAGTAATTATTTTTAATTTCACACTCTACATGTTTTCTAGTATAGTTGACTAGTTGCATATTTATATTGCGTTGTTTTTTACATTGAGGCGTAGCAATAAATAAATGCTTACGAATTCAAAATTATACTCTACCTATAAATTATGGGTTCTCAACCTTTTTAAGTATTTCTTACTATTTTATGAGGTTACGCCCCCCTCACCAGTACAAATTTGAAATATTATGATTGTATGAATAATTTAAAGAGTCAAAATTTCATTCAATTTCACTAAATTAATTTAATTAAAATTTCAAATTTTTAAAACGAAGTTTTTTATAATATTATATTAAATTTTAAACTTATTGCTATTAAATATAAATTAACGAGAAGGTTGGCGCTAATATATCTTGTAATAGCGATAACTATGATAGTGCTCATAAATAAATGATAGTACCTACGTATAAATAAAAAATAACATAATTACTCAATAATTCCCAATAAAATATAAATTATTAGAAATATCGTTTTCGTGTTTTATGTTTTTAAAACGTTTTCACGCCACCTAAGGGGGATTCCCTTCAGGTTGAGAACTCTTACAATAATTCATTTAATTTTATCATATTTTTTTATAATCGAATATAGTAAAAACGCATTAAAAAAAAATTCCTCTATTAATTCCATTGTATACATTTGTTATTCTATGTTAATTTTCTATTTGATTTTGATTGAAAATTATTCATTTAACTATTAAATAAATATCTAACATTATGTGTGTAATATTTCATCATATGTATAGTGTATGTGTAAATATGCGACTTACGCGTCAACTAAATAATATTCAAATCTATTTATATTTACAAAAGTTTTTGTACGATAATACGTTTATGTTATTATAATCAGATTAGGTATTTATCGCGATAAATTTAATTTCCATGAATAGTACTGAAATACTGAATTTACTAAACATTTAGATTTAGTAGTTAATTAGATTTAGATAATTGTGCAATATTTAAATATCTTTATAATATCTTCAAGGTTTAAAGCAACTAAAAAAAAAAAAAAAAAACATCTCCTGTCATTAATTTAAATATATATTTTATAAAATGACAATTTTTTATGATTGTAGGCTCATCGAGTCGGATTCAAAGTCGCTCAATTCTATATCTAATAATAGCACTCATTCCAGAAAAAGCTCAGATGCATCCCAAATTTCACTGGTGTCTGGTAAGTACTTATGTTATTATTTTACAACTATAAACCAATCGGTTCTATTAAAATCTTTATCGAATCATAATCATTTACTTATAACGTTATCAATAACAAAATATCTATTATTTTTCTTTTTTTTCTTAGAAATTCATTTAATTCTCTCTTTAAAATGTATTCATTCATTAAAATAATAACGTAATTAAAATTGGTGAAAACATCATAGTTTCTATTATATTCATATTAGTTATTACCGACTATTAATTTAACTGCTTTTTAGTATGAATATATTTCGCGTTATAAATAGATATAAAATTTATAATCAAAACATTTAATGAATATGTCTGATTAAAATAATTTCAAAAAAATAAAACATATCATTCAACAGTTATTATAATATATGTATATAAATTCAACCTAATTCAAAAACTGTTCATAAATTATTAAATTTTATCTTTTAACTAATTTATTAATTGTAAGTGTTATTATAAAGGATTCAAATTGATTTCTAATTTTAAGTAGAAATAATTTGGAACTACTTTTAAAATATATTATTTTGTTCAATTTTTATCATTTTTTATAATTTTTTTTCATATAAATAGATCGATTTGTAATTTGGGAATAAAACACATCTAAATTTCTGTGTTGTGTTTGTGATTTATTGTAACTTAAAATTACTGCTTCCATCTTAGTAATAATATCCTTTTTATATTTATCACAAATTCATTTTTGAAATAATGTATTTAAAATATATAATTCTTATAAGGAAAGGATATTTAAGGACTTTGAGATATAAAAATATTTATAATAGTCATAGTAAATAAATCATAGTATTAAGTAAATATATATATATATATGTATATAAATGAAGGGTCGAACTGGGCAAGCGGGATAACGGGAGTTTTCCGATGGGCCGCTTGTTTGAATGGGACCGCTTGTACTCGTTGGAAAGTTTTCTTTTTTAGGTTTGTCGGTTTAGGCTCATTCTATCGACAAACATAGACACATTTTCAAATGCGATTGAATTAGAAACTGTCTACAATTGAATAAACGATCTTTTAATTTTTAATAATAATATTAAGTGTGTAAATTCTCAAAATAATATAAGTACAATAATTTTATATGAAAATATACGTTTTTTTTTTTAGATTTGTTTTTATACCTTTGATATATCCTAAGAGAGTCGTTTTTTTATTTTCCCTGTAGACATTTCTGTCCCAGTCCGATCCTGTATGGATGTATATTTAATTTGGGCGAAAGTAATGGAACTTCCTGTACCCACCTGATCCATCAATTCGCACAAAAAAAAGTTTAAACTATAGTAACAGTACTTAATAATTTGTTTTCAGGTTAGTTAGACCAGTTTTTACTAAAAAATATAAATATATATTTTAAACTTTGATTTAATTTATTTTATATTTACGTAATTAAAATTATTATTATATGTATATAATGCAAGTATAAGTATCTAATATGTTACTAGTCTCAATGTTAATATTTATAGACAAAAAAATATAATATCATTTTTATTATTAATAAAATAAATTAGTTAAATATTCAAATTATAATTGAAGTAGGTACATACACACATGTATTTACAAGTATGGATTTAGAAATTAAAAAAAGGGGAGCTGGACACAAAAATCTCTTTCAAGTATATAAAATCATAGGCATTAAGTTTTTAAAGTGAAAAAAATAATCATCATACATGCATATTATCAAATAATAATAAAATACTTTAATAACAGGCAAGAACGTAAAATATTTGTAGTCACAAATATATCACAGTTTATTAGCAAATTAATTTGACAAATACTCTGTTTTTATCCTTTTAGATTAGGACTATTGAAGACTATATATAATCACAATTATTAAACACTTCTAATTTTTAATAAGCAATATATTTATAATATGTTATAAGTAGGGTTCAGAAGTTATAGGTGCCAAAAAAAGGCAAAATATGAACGATAAAATGATAAAATATGCATGAAAAAAATGTGAAATATGCAAAAAAATATTTATTTATTTATTAAAAGTTAACCTATAAAAAAAAAATTGTATTATTGAAAACTAAAATATGGCGCACAATCGGTTGGCATTTGAGATTTTATTGAACTGGAAAAGTAGTTAAACAAATATATTTACATAATATGTGAAATACGAAATAAATATATGTTGTGTAATACCTGTTAAGTTATTGCATTGACCCATCAATATTTTCTTTAAATTCATAGTAGATATTAAAAAATAACGAAAAATAATATTGATTTTTTATGTTGCACGTTTTCGACGTTATTAGCTTTATGTTATGAAACATTATTTAAAATATATTGGTTAAGAATGAAAAAAATTATTTTTTTTTTTAGAAAATATGAAATACGCAAAATATGCATTTTTAAACTACATTATATAACTCGAATTTCTAGCTTGGTCTGCTATAAATCGAGAACATACAGCATATGCAACTCCTATAATTTTCGAACCCAAGCTATAAGCATAATATTGCTCCTTTATACTTTTATTAATAAAAGTCTAGACACCCCAAAAATATTGTAATTAGGCCCTAAAATTTAAGTCTAAGAATAAGGGACCCTCATTTTAACTGATGTTCTTAAATTAAATGTAATTTATTCTAAAATATTTAGTAAAAAATATCTAAATGATGTTTCGTAATAGAAAAAATAAAACTAAATTTTATAAATTTTCGTACAAAAACTTATTATGATAATATTACAGCTAAAATTTATTAAAAAAGTACAAATCATAAATAATTGAAGCTCTGAGAAAAATGTACAAGATTCGAGGAAAACATATTCATTAGGACTTATATACCGTAGTATTAATTAAAAAATTAAAGTCATGTTTATTTACTTATTTATACATTAAAGTTTATTAAATATGCCAACACGTTTTGTTAACATAAGGCACCCGCTGAAATACAGGTCTGTGATCGCCTTTATTTATACATTATTTAAGAAATGTAAGAAATAATAAAGAAATAATTACTTACCTTTATTTAATTTAAAGGGTTATAAGTTAACGTTAATGATTATGTTATTATTATTTTTATAAAAATGTCAACGTATTTATCTATTTCATGAAGATAAAAATGATATTCTCACTGACAATCTTCAGTTTATTTGAAAGAGCAAAACAAACAAAAGTTATTAAATTAAATATTTAATAATGTGGGTCTGCGACGCGCATAACATAATAACTTGAATGGATATAATGACATGATAATGTTTATAAAAACTAATTAATTCAATTGAAGATCAATATCTACATTTTGGATTTTATTTTTCAAAATTCCCCCTATATGAATTGCAATTGATTTAATTTAAAAAAAATTAAATTTTGTTGAGGTAAATAAATAAAAATGAAGATAATTATGTTTTAAGAAAAAATTTATCTATAAACTTAAATATTAATTTCAATTAGCGTATCCAATTATTGTAGCGAAAAACATTCGTTACTATTTTATTTCTTATTTCTGACTTTTAAGTAAGTTAATCTGATCTATCATATCAGTGAATAACATGACTTATGAATTAATTAATATTTAGTTGATTTTTAGTTAGTATAAGCAAATTATTATTACCATTACAGTTACGTAGCATATATATATTTTATGTACTTATATATTTTATGAATTTTTAAACTATAAAATGATAAATAATATAATTATTTAAAAAAATATCTTATTATCAAATTATTGAACAAAAATGAGTATAGAAAAAATGTTTGTAATTTTGTTAAGTGACATGAACACGGTATCAACAATTAAATTAGCTGTTTAAATTAATGCCAGTTATGACGGCCGTACCCTTCAAGACTATAGTCATATTCTCATTGAACAAAGAAATTAATCTAAGTGTCGTATGAACAGTGGTGATTGTTGCAATTAAATCCAAAATGAATATGAATAATTAATTCTGAAAGGGATTCAAATAATTTTTATGTAGAGAGAGGGTTAAATGCACTAAGCCCCTCATTATATAAGCTTAGTTATCAGGAATTTAGTTATCTCCTTGAGAGGACGTTCCACCCACATTTGTTGTTTCCGTCTGACATACAAAACAATATAGCAAATTTTCGTTCAGTGATTCAAATGTAATGAAGTTAGCTTTAATATTAGAGTAAACTGACCTATAATCAAACTTTAAGGGAAGAACGTTATCTTTTTTTTTTTTAATCGGTTTTTTCCGATATTCTAATTTTTTAGCGAGCTATGACGTTTTTTTAATTGTTATATTTTACATACTCATAACACGCTTAAAAATTAAAATATCGGAAAAAAACCGACCAACAAAACACAGATAATGTTCTTCCCTTAAAGTTTGATTATAGGTCAGTTTATTCTAATATAAAAGCAGGAGCGTATTTTAGGGGTGGCGAAGGGGGCGATCGCCCCCCCCTCCTGAATACATATTTAAGGAATCGATTATACGAGTATGTGAAATACACATAACAATTTTTTTTAATGTGGTTCATTAAATAATTAAATAAAATTGCACATGGCTGTGAATACTGAATTGGGTTTTTTTTCGGGTTCATACTTAGTGAAAAATCAAATAAAACACAAGCGTAACTTTCAAAACACAGACAGGTGTTAAAAAATAACTACACAAAAGTCGATTCTAAGTGAATCTGACATTAGATTTAAAAAAAAACTAAAAATATTAAGGATTCACCCGATTTAAATATTACCAAAATTTGACTTGTAAATATTGAGACTGAATTAAGGAAAAAATTGGAGCCTCCTCACCACTTAGAAGTAAGTCTAAATACGCGCCTGTATTAAAGCTGACTACACTACATTTGAATCACTGAACTCAAATTTGATATGTTGTATGTATGTCAGACGAAGACAATATCATGCGGGTGTGACGTCCTCTTAAGTTTTCTTTTTTATTTTAGACTAACAGTAGATTTAGTTAAAATAATTAAACACATAATTTTTTTAAAACCAATTATATGTTTTAGATAACATTTATTATATATTTTAAATAATTTCCAAGTATCAATACTTAATATAAAATTATAGCAATAACAGTATAGTTATTTTTTTATGACACATAAAAAATATTTAATTTAAAATAAGTAATAATTATAATGGTTATTTTATTACCATATTTCATTGGGTCCTACATTTCTAGTTAATAAATGTCGTCTAATTGTGTTAATGTCAATTGATGCATTAAGCATTTAATTATTGTTATCATTTAATTTGATTTATCTTATTTTTTACATAGTCTAAACCCATTATTTTCAAAGCTAACATTAATTTTCGTCTATCTTATATTATTATTATTATTATTTAAACACTAACTAACTGGTGGTGAAAACAAAAATCATAATATTAATAACAGTTATCCAATAACATTTCATTACATGTTAGTAGTGTTTCAACAGTTCAACTTGAAAAATATATGTATAATAATTAATATGGCGCCTCGTGAAAGGTCTAAAATCTTTAGCCGAAAAAAATACTTTAGAAGTTTATTTGCTATTTATGTTCGAGTTCATGCTAGAGGTGTTCGAGGTTTGTTATTAATCATATTTTAAAATAATTTTATAATTTGTGTTTTATTTAGGAACAGGATCAAGCCAAGATGGTGAAGAAGATGTATGGGGTCTTTGGGGTCAAGTTGTTAATGATTGGGAAAATTACAGTAAGAAAAAAAATGCGTACCTCAAAGAATTAGTGAGGAAAGGGATACCACATCATTTTCGAGGAATTGTTTGGCAACTATTGTGTGGAGCTAATGATTCACCAATTAGGAAACAATATCCAGAATACATTAAAGCCACATCAGCTTGTGAAAAAGTAACTATATTTTTGTTAAATTTCATATTAAAAATACCAAAAAATTAATTTATATTTAAGGTTATACGAAGAGATATAGCACGCACCTATCCTGAACATGATTTCTTTAAAGAAAAAGATGGACTTGGCCAAGAAAGTTTGTTTAACGTCATGAAAGCATATTCATTACATGACCGTGAGGTAGGATATTGTCAAGGTTCAGGATTTATAGTTGGTTTATTATTAATGCAAATGCCTGAAGAAGAAGCTTTTGCTGTTTTTGTGAAGATAATGCAAGATTATAAAATGAGAGATATGTTCAAGCCAACCATGGCTGAACTTGGTCTGTGCATGTATCAATTAGAAAATTTGGTCCAGGTAGTTACATTTTAAAAGTATATTATACTTTATTATGAAATAATTGATTAGGAACTATATAATTATATGTATATACTTATTATTTGTTTTAGGATCACATTCCAGAACTTTTTGTACATTTCCAATCTCAAAGCTTCCATACTAGTATGTATGCGAGTAGTTGGTTTCTGACATTATTTACCACTGCACTCTCACTACCTACTGCTTGCAGGTATTTAACTTTATTATACATTTTATTTTTATAACTTTAAACCAACATTTATTTTATAGAATTATTGATGTTTTTCTGTCTGAAGGAGTGGAAATAATTTTTAAAGTTGCCTTAGCATTACTTCAATTAGGTAAAGATGATCTCTTGTGTTTAGATATGGAAGGAATGCTGAGGGTAAGTAATATGAATTAAAAATTTATCAATGATAACTATAAAAATATAATTTTTTTATTTTTTTCAAAAAGAATTACCTTCCCGTGCTAATGCTGATGCTGATAGTTTGATGATACAAGCGCTTAACATTAAGTATAATGCTAAACGTATGAAAAAATTAGAAAAAGAATACACTGCTATTAAGAGTAAAGAACAGGAAGAAATGATTGAACTCAAGGTGCCCAGATTAATATCTAGAATTTTATTAAGACTTCGCTTATCTTGTAAAATTTGCACTTGCTAATCTTTCGACATTTAACTAAACATGTAACATTTTAGGAAATATATTAACTATCTAAAATAACACTTTGTGATCTCAATAATATGTATTTAAAAATGTAACTTAATTTATTATTTAAATATATAATCTATCATTTAATTTTAATTTTTTTTATAGTGATTTTAAAAAAGACTTCCTTGTTCTATTGCTTGCATAATTTTAACAACAAATTTTGTATGCATTAACTATCATTAGTTTTTATTTATTGAGTATGTTCTTGTAATAGAAACTTCGAACTGAAAATCGCTTACTAAGACAAAAAGTTGAACTTCTTGAAGCAGAATCTAGTGAACTAGCAGGTTTGTTGGTAAGAGGTCAAGTATCTCGTGCTGAAGAAGAAGAAACAACATTTATTGTGCAACGAGAACTAACAGCCTTGCGACACACTCATTTAGAAACTTCACATGCCTTAGAAAATGCTTTGGAAGAAATCAAACAAATGTCTATTTTGATAACAGAGAATGTAAATTATTATATTATATTATATTACATTTAAATTAAACTTGAATTTAACAAAACAAATTTATTTCAGCACAATTCTTGTCAATCATCTTTAGATGAGCTTTCGATAAAACAAGAACAATTAACACTCAAAGAGGAAATGATCAGTGACCTTCAAGAAGAATTAGTTAAAGTTAGACTGCGGGATGCAGAAAATGAAGCAATGATACGTGATCTTAAAGATAAAATTGGAGAACTTGAACATGTAAGTATTTTAATACATTAAAATTATTTTATTTTAAGTAAATGGAAAAATGTTTTTTATAGGATAAAAAAACTCTTCGAGAATCAGTTGTTGACAATTCTGTTGCACACCTTCAAGAAGAATTGATTGCTGTCAAATTACGTGAAGCAGAAGCCAATTTATCTTTGAAAGATCTCAGACAACGAGTGAATGAAATAAATTGCCAATGGCAACGGCATTTGCAAGATAAAAAAAGAATCGATCCACCTCCTGCACCTGATTCAACTCCTAAAAAAATTGGAAATTTATTAAACTGGAATAATGCAGAAACTCAGCGGCTTGAAGAAGAGCTTACGACTACTAAATTAAGAGAAATGGAAACTTTGGCTGAATTGAAAGAACTTAGATTAAAAGTAAAAATTTCTTTTTTTTTCTTCAGTTTTCAGTTAATATCTAAGTAAACATAATTAATTGTAGGAGATGTTGAGGAAAAATATAATTGAAAGTAATAATTTTTTTATTGATTCTGCAATAGCTATAATGAAATTGTTCCTGTTGACTGTTGTTGAATGTATAGAAAAAATAGGTTTTTTTAATTGAATTGACGATTACAGAAACATGAGTCACATATTTTATGAAATTGAAATATTAGTAATAACGTTTAATAGTTACGTGTTTCTATGTGTTGAGTGTTAAAAAGTATTTAGTAATACTTTTTTTATTAGATAAAAATGTTTACTAATCCTGTTTTTACACTCAATACATAGAAAAACATGACTAGTATACATTTTTACTAATATCTCAATTTCATATAATATTAGACTCATAACTTTCTGCAATCATTGATTCAGTTAAAATTATAAAATGTATTATTTCATTATAAAATATATTTTATTGATCAAAATTCTAAGGGGAAAATAAAATTAATTTTATTTATTTATTGAATTATTACTCTCAGAATTAAAATTCTGGTTGTAAAAGTCTTCTGACAGTATATTAGAGATTTAACAACTAATTATGGTATTGTGGTGTATAACCTGAAAATAATGAGAGTTTTTAAGCTTTTAATATATAATACATGTAAAACGTGTGTAAATAAAAATTAAAACTTGAGTAGAATGTTATTAAATGATATAATGCTCAGTAGTACTTATTCTGTATATAATGCATTCCTTTAAAATATTTCAATTCTAAATTATTTTAGTACCACCTATACATTTAAACAACAAAAATATTCCAAAATCCTCGAGCTCTCTTTATTTGGGCTTGTTTCTAGATCAACGATTAACTTGGGCAGACCACATAAAAAAAAAAAAATCCTCTTAAACTCTAGACGAAAATCGCTACAATTCTTACTCGGTAAACATTCTAAACTTAATATAAAAACAAAATTACTTCTATATAAAACTTTATTAATGCCGATTTGGACATACGGGATCCAGTTATGGGGCGCAGCCAAAAAATCAAACACAAATAAAATTCAAACTTTCCAATCCAAAACCCTCCGGTAAATCACAAATGCCCCATTTTAAGTTTCTAATCACACCCTTCATACAGATTTAAAAATGAATACGATAGAAGAAACTGCCAAAATCTTTTATAAACGTTTCCGCTCCCGACTGTCAAACCACTCCAATCCACTAATCTCTGCTCTAGATTCCGACACCATTCCTGGTAACCCTCTTCGTCGACTGAAGAGAAAATGGTGTAGAGACTTAAATATCAATTAGCTAAATATATAAAGGTAAATTTAAATTCAACCTAATCATGTCATAAAGTTCGCCATTGGGTGGCTGCTTTTATCACGTTATGTCAAGCTATATTAAACATTTCCGCATGCGTACTTATTGTAATAATTTATTTACAGATTGCACGCCTTAAAATAAAAAATTATAAAAAAAAAAAATATTTAAATTATTTATTTTTTAAAATATTTTCATTATTTCTTTTAAATACAAGTGCCATTTACAAGTAAAAAATAGAGAATGTTAAAATTGTATTCCAGTAAAATTTTGTAGTTAAGTTTAACATTATAAATAAGTTAAACTCACTTTAAAAATTAAAAAAAAAAATGTACTTATTATAAGATTTTGTTTAATCTTATATTATTTACTATAATTTAAACTACATTGATTATTAAGGTTATGGAACTTGAGACACAAGTTCAGGTTAGTGGAAATCAGTTAAGAAGGCAAGATGAGGATAATAAAGCTGTACGTGAACAACTAGAATTAGCTGAAACTAAACAAAGAGATCTAGTTGCTAAACTAAGAGAACAACAAAATAAGTATACGGATTTAGAATCAAAGGTATATTTTATATTAATTTATATAACTTATTTTAATGAATTTACCAACAATTTATAGATGAAACATGACATGATTTCTTCAAGAATACGAGAAGCTGAGCATGCTCAAATGGTTGCTGAATTAAACCAAAAGATATCTAGATTAGAAGTAAAAGTAAGTAAATGTATTTAATTTTATTATATATTGTATTAACATATGTACAATTTTATTACACAATTTTTTTGGCATATTAGAATGAAGAAATGGTTACTGAAGGAGAACTTAGAAATAACTCATTAGACGATAGTGATAAAGTTAAAGAACTTCAAGATAAGGTAGCTGATCTGAAAGCTGAAGTATGTTATAAAATTATTAGTTATAAACTTAGAATACTAAACATCACAAATTCATGACAAGCTTTTACGTGCAGAATTATTTTAAATTACAGTTTACACTATTTAATAGTGGTGGTTAAAGTTACATGCTATATTAATATTTGTTGGTTTTAGGTGAAAGTCATTGTAAATAATAAACTTGTCATCTTCAATGTTTTTCAAACCTTAATAACAATAGCTAACTAACATTGCTTATTTATAGTTGTTGGTATCATAAACGTATTCATCATTGTCTAACAAATGTAATTTAAATAAAATACATATATTTTTTTTCAAAAACTATATTTATTTGTAATAAGTTAAAATTTATTAAAACAGAAAAACAAAAAATATTCTTCTGTCAAATTATGTAATATTCCAAGTAAATATTAAAAATTAAATAACAATAGGTCATGTTTAATTCAGTTTACTAAAGTAAAAATTACTTTTGTATAAACATAAAAAATTATTATGAACAAAAAAAATATTAACATAATATTATTAATTTTTATATTATAGTAAACCTATTAGATAATAATTAATTATTTACCTGTTTGATAAAATAAATCATTTGAAAATTGTATATATTTATTAAAAATATTGTCTATGTCATTGCTTGTTTTATAATTAACATCACTTAAGCACGCTTATATTAACCAAAGAAAAAAAAAATGGTTTCTAGCTGCTCACACCGACCACACCAGATGTCGAGCCATGGAAGTGGCTAGGCTGACACAGTGAGTTTGCACGTTTTATATTTTATATAGCTATTGTTAATTTGCTTAAATTAATTCTATATATTTTACTGATCTACTTGTTTTCTTTCTAATAGGTTATTTCTTTTTTTAAAGAAAACTTTACATTATGTTCATCATTTTTACATATTATTTTCAAAGTTTTATAACATTGAAATGCTTTGTTTTCTATTATTTAAGTGTTTATACATCAGCACTTCAAACAGAGAATAATAATTTGCCTCCCATTTTTAATAATCTACATTATACATACAAAATGATGTCTATATATTAATAAATAAATATAAACTAACTTAAATAAACTTTAGGTAATGCGACTGGAGGCCTGGAAACAACGGTGGGTCAACAATGGTAACACTACCATCAAGACTGAGAGATCTGGATCAGTAGATACAACAGAAAGTGAAATGGATGATTCAGCAGATTTTCATTTGCGATTATCTAGTTGAACCTATTATAGTTACTTCTCCTTATTATAAAATTATATATATTAATAATGATGGAAAACTAAAATAGATTTTTTTTTTTATTGTTTAAGGTGATATTATTATTTCCAATGAGATAGATAAAAATAGTACTCAATTTTTATATTTGAATGGCCAAATAATTATTGCCGTCCTTTTTTTTTTAAATTTATTTTCAAATATTTATTGTTTGTTTTTTTTTTTTTTTAATATTTATTACAATTTTATTATACTCAATTATATTATTTTTTAGTTACCTATTTTTTGTACTTATCATGATTCTTTTTCAAATTTATGAATCGTTAACATTTAAAATCCTAACGTTGTACAATTTTTGTTGCACAAATATAATAATTATATTGTGATAAATTATTGTAATACATCAATTATTAAATATATCTTAATTTAATGAGCTAAATTTAAATGAAAAATGTACTTCAAATTCAAAACCACGCACAAAATATTAAATAATTGAATATTATCTAAAATAATGATTAATGATTCAATAATGATTTTTACAAAAAATAAATCCTATTAGAAAACTATTATTATTACAATAATGTGATTATATATAACACTAAATAATTTAAATATTACTTTATATTGACTAATTTGAAAATTAGTATTAGATTTGTATTATTCATTGTGCAATTGTTCTATTAAGTGATGGAATAGAGATATATTTATTAAAATACTATGAAGTTAATTTAAGAAACATGTTATTGTTCTTTTCAATCTTGCACATTCCCGTTTAAAAAAAGGGAACATGATTTAAGCAATAATAATTATAACTATCTATAATCATAATAATTGATTAAAGATTTTTTTTTTTAATATTTATATTTGTGACTCGTAAATAATTATATTATTATTTCTTTCCTTAATATGCAATATATAAATATATAGACAAACATAATTGTGTATAAATGAATTAAAATTAAGTTTTTCATGTATACACAATGATAATGTTGTTTATAGGTTATAATACACACATATAGTGTATAATAATGACTCAACACTCATTAAAATAAATAATCTAATAATTTGTATGATGGATATTTTTTCAAAATTTGTTTAGTGTGTACTTATATTATGTAGCTGTGAATGAAAATGTTTTTATGTACCTATTCTTAAATTTGTTTATTTTGTTTTATATATTTAATATACATGTATGATATTTATAATATGCAGTATTAAAACTGGCTCATTTTGAAATAAAGGATTATTGAAATAATTAAAAAAATAATTTTAATATTTGTATCACTTATGTTTTATGATCACCATTGAGTGGTTGACTTCTAATTATCTGTACTGAATTATTATTTTTCCCTTTCTTTCATTCAAAGCAAATAAATATTTTCATATTTTTGTTGATTATAAGGTATAATTGTGATTGAACGTTTTTAAGAGGACGAATATCAATGAATGCTGAAGATAAAAATAAATTTATTTTATAAGTTAAGTATTTTGCTTAAACATCGTTTATTGAGTAAAATTAATCATATACACAACAAATATTATCTTCTCGGACTGACCTAGGTCCGCCACCCTAGACATCTCGTGCAGAGAACCTATTCGCGGACCTGCCTAAGCCAGCCGTCTTAATCCTCCCATACTGATCGCCTCTTTGTGGACTGTCCTCAGCCCGCCAACTTCAACACCCGTAGTGAAACATCACCGACTATTGGCTTCTGCGGCTTGCCGCACTCTTTCCTCTTGTTCCTTGAGGGTTAGGATCTCCACAGTCATCTTATAGAAGATCCTGAAGGTCTCTTCTCCTTCCCTGAGGACGACCTGCCTCTCCTGACAGTCCGCCGGGAGGTCCTCGAAGACCAGCTCGCACAAGATGCCTGGGACGTCTTCGGCTGCAATAGAACGGCCAAGGCGGGCGCAAAGCTCCTCACACAGGCCGTCCCAGTTCGGACACCGGAACAAGATGTGCTCAGCGGTGTCTGAATAACCCGGGCAGTGCATGCAGCTTGCAGCCCCAGGGCCGGCTTAAGGCTTAATTACGCCCCAGGCCAAAATACCTACTGACCTTTTTTCATACAACATGTAATATCATATTACTTAGAAAAAAATGTTATTCGTGAACAGAAATACGGAAAAATTATATAATATGCTCAACTTGTACATATTTTGCTATTGTCTATTTTTTTAATCACGAGTCATAATGATTTGATGCGATCCCGATTAAATGATAGCAAATATTTGGGAATTTTTATATTTATAGAGCAACATAGGTATATGATAAAAACTTCTATTCTAAACCATAGTAAATATATTTAAAATATACTTATATTGTTTTAATACATGATTAAACGAAATTACCATTATAATTATCAATATTTCAATACAAAGTTATAAGTATTTTATTTATAAAAAAAATAAAAATAATAATATTACTGATACATGTGCAAAATTGTAAAAATCAATTTCGATGCCCCTCTAAAAATGGCGCCCTAGGTGACCGCCTGAGTCGCCTAACCCTCACGTCGGCTCTCTGCAGCCCTACCCACGATGGAACCTACCGGACGTCAGTTTCACACGTGTGTGAAGTTAGCCCCCCACTGTAAAAAATACTTTCAAAATAATTCTGTTGAAGAAAATTTAGTTTCCTCCCTCCCCCCATGGCCACAACACAAATACGCCCTTGTATTTAGGCGCGGTTTTTTTGTTGGCACTGGTGATTTGAAAATCGTGTTTATGAGTGAACAAAACGTCTAGTGTGTTATACACTTAATACACTTAAGTTATAAGTAACAATGATTATTTTATTTCCACAATAATCAAATATTTGTATAATTTTCGATTACAATCGATTAACTGATTATTCGATTTTTAATCAATAAACGGTTATTCGATTATTAATTATTCGTTAAAAATTATCAAATAATCCATTTAAATATTCGCTTATTAAAAACACACAGCCCTAGCTATAACACGAGAAAATACTTATAAATAATTCGTTTAAATATCTATTTCACGCACGTACCTATGCGTCTTATCACTTTTTGTGTTTTGATATACAGGTAAAGAATTGAATAACTAGCAATAGAAAATATTATGAATGTTCTGAATATAATTGTGGAAATAAATATACGATAACGTTCGTTTTTTTTACAACGTTAAATGGAATATAGAGAAAATTATAAACAAAGTCATAAACGTGCCATTGAAGTTTTATTCGATAATGTCATGCGGCGTATGTTCAGAATTTTAATTTTATATTTAAGCGTGCATGTATCTAGTTAATCAGGTGTTTGATGCAGCAAATATTTTTACCGACTAGTTTTCTCTTAAACTTTCAAAGCGGTTTACCCTGTACATTATATATTCAATCTATGGTCATAGTTACTTTGCATTTGTAGCAATTTGCATTACACCGTGATTACGCCCGTACGTGTGACTGTTTGCGTTTGTAATAGTTTCATTTTACAAATAAATCCAAACATTATGGCGACTAAAAAAAGAAAAATTTGTGATGAACATCGTTTTTTTTAATAATTCTTGGGTTGATTTATACTTTTTCGTTGAAAACAAAGGTAAGCCATTATGTTTAATTTGTCAAAAAATTAAATTTTTTCTTAAAAGCAATTTTGTCCAGTAACATTCGTATTTTTCGCACTCATATTTCTATGTAAAATAATCAAACATAATAGCAATACAATTATTAGTATATATCATGTGTAAAAAAATTTTTTAATGTGGCCCTTATTATAAATAATTGATAATATTATAATTTATTATGTCATACTCAATCGAGGAATAACGTAGTTTGCATTGATATTGCATGTTTACTGGCATCAGGTATGTACGGTGTCTATTATTGCTTCAGCTAATCATATTTTGTAAATCAATACAAGTACACGTTAGCATTCAGTAGCTGTAGTAATCCGGTTTTATAAAACAATTGTGCAAAGTCGTTTCAATAGATAAATATTAAAAATATCCTATAAACCAGTGGCACATGCAGGATTGTTTCATGAGGGGGTTTCGATATGCAAAAATAAAAAAATTATTAGTTACATCGAGTATAAAACTGTACTTAAACAACATGATATTTATATTAACCTTATAATCGGGTTTGGTAAATTGAGTTCCATTTTATTAATTTTAGGTAAACTGAGTCCCACCTAAAAAAAAAGAGGTAAATTGAGTCCCTCGTATAGAAATGAAATCGGTAAATTGAGTCCCTTGTTTAAAATTAAAGCGGTAATTTGAAATATGGTGAAATGCTGTTTTTTTTTTATTTAACACACTTTTAATTATATTAACACCATTTTATACTACGTACATTAAACTTATATTTATCAGTTATCACATATCACATCCAGCGTTGTTGTAGATAGTTAGGTACTTATATAAATGTTGCATAATAATACGGAGCGAAATATAATAATATTTAACGATATAACGATAAAATACACTTACCTCTCGTACTCGGTGAATTTATAACTATATCAACATATATTTATAATTTAAATACATTTAAATATTTTAGACGGGACTCAATTGCCGCTTTAACTGTTATACGAAGGACTCAGTTTACCTATTTCGAAAAAAAATAAATTCGTTTGGGACTCAATTTACCTACGCCCCTTATAATCGTATGCTGATATTGGGGGGACTCAAGCCATCAGAATATTTTTAATCTCCTCCCCATAAGGTACAAGTACTTTCAAAATACGTACCTATTGGTTTTCCGTTAATTTTTCAATATTGCCAAACCATAATTTATTTTTATGAATCATTTTAACAAAAATTTACGTTTTTCTTAATTTCTATAAATTCTCAACAGCGATAAGTTACTGATAACTAATTTAAACAAAGAATGCACCGTAAAATAATTAATATATAAATAAATATTTTCTATATAAAAATAAATAAATGCTAGGAGTAAATATAGCTAGGCCCAGTTGCGTCATATGAAGAGGAGGGCAAGGTGGGCATTTGCCCCTGTATAATTAAAAAGCATCCCAAAGGGTCGGTCGTTGTCGTTTAGCCATAAGCCGTTATTTGCTGAAAATCAAGCGTATTTTTATCATTTTGAAAATACTGCGTACTAGATAATTATTTATTGCCACGATATTTGGCAATTGGCAATTGGTATAAAATATAAATAGACATAGGAACATTTTACAAAAATATTAGATTTTTGAATGAACTTAACCATCGTTTCAGCAACTATAGCAATAAAATTATTTTTACTTGTAATATTTTTTTATCTTCCAGTCCTGATTATTTTAATTTCAAAAGTCCCTATCTATTGTCTTTCTTTAAACATTATAGTTATTTTAAAATTGATAATTTAACACTTCAAACTGAATTCTTATCTACAAAAAACTTAAATTAATGAACTTAATTAATTTAAATTATTCTAATAAAGAACGAGATGGTGGAATTCATGATATTTTTTCTATTTCTAAAATTTTATATGAACTTTCTGAAGCTTTTACTGAAACTCTTAAAATTATAAATATTCTTTTAACTTTGTCTGTAACAGCTGCTTTCAATGAACTTTTTTTTCTTCCCATGAATTAATTATCCTTTCTACGCTTGACAATGGGAAATTATCGGCTGAGTGATTTATTGGTTATAGCTGTTAAAAGTGATATTGCTGCAGAAATCAGTTTATATGATGCAGTAGATGTATTTTCAAAAATTAAAAATATAAGATATCCGTTTACAGCTTAGATTAATTTAGGATTAACTTAGATTAAGTTAACCTTGTTTAGGTAATGTTTATAAAATACAAAATTATATTTTGCAAAAATTTAAGTTGTATAATAATATAATATATAAAATATGTGCCTTAAGTATAAGTTAAAACGTGTGAGCGAAACTCCTTATTTCCCCCGGTAGTATGGGCCGATCAAAAATGTTGCCCTCCCCCCCTATCAAAAACTGAAATGACGCTACTGGCTAGTCCTGGAGAAATATTATATAATATTTGTGAAGTACTACCGGTTTCAAATTAAAAACTCATTGTCAGGTATATAAGTTAATAAAATCGCGATTTTTTTCTGTAATGCGGACAATTAAAACGGCTGCATACGAATTGCGTCCCGATTATCTGATATCAGAATATATACCTTTGATGATCTCAATCAATAATCAAGACGACTATATGAGTACTTAAGAAATAAATGTAATCGGTTAGTATGTCTTTCATCTCCCTCTCGTTGACAATTTTGCGCTGTTCTATTTCTATTTAAAAATATGAGTTTAATTGTGAGTAACGTTATGATAATTTATTTATTTTATTATTTATTTATTATTAATTTTTTAAAAATTTTTTATAAACAATTTATTTTAACAATGTATTCAGGTTCACAACAAATAGCTGTGAAGCTTTCTATTTAAAATGTAACTGTACCTATGTTTTATTCAGCTCATCCAAATATCTTACAAATTTATTAATGTACTTAAAAACGTATAAAAAGATACTAACATAAATATTCGCAACAAAAAAAAAAAAAATAAGATGAGAAATATGTGAAAAACATGAATTTTTAAGAAAACAAATGATTAAATAGGTACGACGTGAACGAAATAACACGTTTTAATTAGGTATGTCAAAACTGTATCGATTAAATTTTTACCGAGCCATAAATAATATTATAGTAACATGTATATAACTTATATTTTTTGAAATTTTTTTTCACTTATTCTTTTATTTTTATATTTAACGACGAAAACAATATTTTTGATGTACATAATTACAAAACGATAAAAAACAATTTTTTTAACCTACCTTTAGCAGTATAATATTTAATGTTGCTATAGACAGTCCTAAGTTTGTATTAAACGGGAAGGAAAATAATGTATTTACATCGGATACAAATAGTATAGTTGTTAATTATTATCGGGACGCAAATCGTATGAAAAAGGGATCTTGGAATGCAGTTTGTTTGCTGCGATTAAAACATGGCTTCGAACCACATTCATTCAGGAGAGACTAACAAATACGTCAATTTTATATATAGAAAAAAATATGTCGACATTTATTGATACAGACAAAATTGTTGATTTATTTGTAGAAAAAATAGATTTATAATAAAATAAAATATACAGTAGATATAAATTATTTATTTAATTGTATTACATTATCACTTATACATATG